GATTTCCGACATTTTTCTTCAAAACCGATTCGAGCAATGCCCTTGCATCCATGAGCAGCCTGGCTCTGGCTAAAATATGAATGGTTATGGAGTAGGACCAAACCCCGTGTTCGAAATCTTTGCTGTGAGCTGCCCAGTGGAAGAAACCCAGAGCCCGTTTCGCATCGATGGGTTCCTTCAGTGCTAGCAGCACACTCTCGACGAGCTCTCCGTCCAATTTAACGGACTCGAACTTTGTGGACAGAGTGTCCCAATTGCAGCTGCTTCTGAACGAGTCGCGGATGGATTTGACGACGTCATTTGGCGGCCCTGAGTTTGTGTGGATCAGTTGGGTTTTCTGATTGATGGGTTTGGGAATTAAAGATTGTGCAATTCGACGCAGCAGAGAAGCCATGTAATACAGAGATGAAGTCGTTCGGTTCTGTAAATTTCATGTACCTTCGAAAACCACGGAGGCGTGCCAATAGATGAGTATCCTTTCCGGATTCCGGATCCTCTTTGTAAAGATAGCGGAGATTTTTAATCATATCCGTTCATTATACATTATACGGTCACTTTTTGTTAGACATATTAAATAAAAAAATTAATAATAATTTTTGACCGCCTGATATACGATGAATGAATGTAATTAAATGATTTCTGGGATCCTCACAAACAGGATCCAAAATGGATCCTTATTGGTGCCAATACCCAATAGGCAATGCCCGGCACTTGGCTAAAAAAAGTCCTGCTATTATGGTCTAATTCTAGTTACTACCATCCACTCATAATGTGGCTTTACTCAATTTTCACTGTTGGTGTAAATAGATTGATGTATTAAAAAAAAGGAAAACTAATGAAAAGGGCTTGAAAACTTTGAGTTTTAATGATAAGGACAAAATAAAGGGTAAAGTGAATAGTACCAGGATTGACTTTTTAGTGTAAAAATGTGGTTTTTCGTTAAAGTGAACAGTACCGGGTGCTTTTCGTTAAAGTTCCCTTAAAAAAAATCACTTTTAACTATTTGAAAATTATTACGACATTTCTCCATCTATTTATTTGAATGGAATTGGAAACTCAAGACATTACATACTTTTTCTTTTCTTATAAAAGAATATATTTGGACTAAGTTACATGATGTTCAGCCATAATAAATTGATATCGAACTCATCATTCACAAAAGTTAACTCAAGACATACCACTTATAAGTGAGAAATATTGAGAAATTGTAGTACTTTTTTTTATTATAAATGATATTGTTAAGGGAATTTTAACGAAAAGCTCCCGGCACTGTTTATTTTAACGAAAAATCACATTTTTACACTAAGAAGTTAATCTTGGTACTATTCACTTTACCCTTTATTTTGTTTTTATCGTTCAAACTCAAAGTTTTCAAACTATTTTCATTAGTTTTCCTTATTATTAATCGAAACTACAATCAAGGGAGGGGATAGTTTTTAAAGCCATGACGCAATAGATTGAATAGGAAGCTCTATCCACTGATTAGAGCAATCTATCATTTGCTGGAAACCATCTACACTTCTTGTGAAGTGGGTAAATGGTGTGATTATCATACTGTTGACCCTAGAAACTACAGAGCCTACGTGGCGCGCCGGCCGAGTATTTTCTAAGCTAACTACGTCCTTTGGTGATTGCGAGGGCGTGCCAACTCGTCGGCCGAGCTCGGCCGAGGAGTAAATTTGTTGATGTTGCATTGAGCGCGCTGATGACTTCTGTGTCTTGCGATTGCGGCCGAGGAATGAACAATTCTCGGCCTCTTGGGTTCTAGAGCCTGAAGACAAGGCTGCTAAAATGCGAAGTTCACGAACCGAATTCGGCTTTCAACGTGCCGAATACAATAACCTGGTAACACCTCACTTCGCCGAGAAGGCTGATGAGATGACCTCGACCAATAAGGATTCGGAAATCCTTCTCGACCGAGACTTGGATAGGTAACCAGTCGTCCTCGCCGTAGTGCTGTTGATGCCAACGGAAGATGCTGCGAGATCGGCTAATTCTACGGTGACAGAGCTATCTATGCCGACTTAAGATATCACCGGTTGCTTTCACAGTGCTGTTGATGCCAACGGAAGATGTGTCAGCGAAAAAGAAAAAGAAAAATCACAAGTTGTGAGAGTTTGCGCAGGGCAATTTTGTATTGATTTTGTAGGAGCCTTTCTGTCGCAGAATAGCTTGTATTTATAGTATTTTGTACTTGCTTGGCACGAACTGCAACTCTGACTCCTTCAAAATCGATCCGTGTGAAATGCCAAAGCCTATCCTCCAGCTTTTGTGACTTTTCAAACCTAATAAAAGTTAGGCTTTATCATATCTCATAAAAAGCCTAGCCCACCTAAACTTCTTATCATCAAAACCCCATCTGACACCATCCATCACCATGTAAAAAGACCTAGTCTACCTAGGTTCCTTACCCCATCATTATCCAAGACCATGACTTTAAAATCATCAAATCCAAGTTTTTTTCAATCTGCACGTTCATTGCTAAACATCCAAATTAATTTGAACTGTATCTCTTACTTGAGGATATAATTTGCATCCTATCCATCCCATTTAAAAATATGTCAAGATAATTCAAATTAAAAGATAATTATGATAAAAACCATAATATTATCTTTTAACAAAAATATCTTCACTTTTCCATCCGACGGCTGAGATCTATGTTTACTCTACGGTCTCAATTACACGGGCCGATGGTGTAAATTTGGGTCCAAACACATACATATGTTTACCAATTTCTTCAGTACATATATTTGTATATGCATTTCTTTTATACGAGATGATGGTGGTATTATTATTACAATAAGCAAGAAAGATTTCAATAGTCAATGAAAGCACTCTAGATTAAATTTGGAGCAGTCTTAAACAGGGCCGGCTCTGAGTGTAGTCCAAGTAAGCGCCCGTCGAAGGCCTCCACTCGGATGGGTCCCCAAAATTTTTAGTATCCTGTAATTAACATATAAATACAAAAAATAAAAAATAAAAAAAATCATAATTTAATTTTTGGTCCAGTGGAAATGGTTGACTTCCTTTTTCTTTTGGGTGTTGAGTTTGAAACATGGAGTTGCTTTTTTAGGGACTATTTTTTTTTTTTTAAATAAAATTTACTCCCATTCTATTTGTCCAAATGCATATAAAGTTATAAACTCTAGTCCCCTTGCAATCTTTTTTTTTTCCTTCAACTTCCCAATCACTCTATTTCTATCGAATGTTTAAATCAACTATCACCTGATCTTGAAGATTGTATCTGAAGGTAATCAAAACTTTGAATTTATATTTTGCTTTTCAATAATTTTTTATTCAATTGATTATTTTAATAATCGACTGGTTAGTGTTATGTTGATTTTAGAAAGAAAAAAAAAGCACAAGAGAAACAATTGGCGGCGTTGAATTTATTATACTCGTCAATCAAGTTTTATTGTTCTTTACTCTCTTGATCATCAAGTTCTATTGTTCTTCACTCTTAATCTTAGACTCTTAACCGCAAAACATTTAGTATATTTGCGTCAAAAAACGTGAGACATGTAATATATTAATTTAAGCAATGTTTTATACGATGTGGAAATATTTAAGTAATGTTTGTATATTTATCTTCTTTTGATATTAAATTTTAATGGTATTTGATGTGAAAATAGAATTTTTATATATTCAGCGAATTCTTTTTATACATATCAATATACAAAGAACTGAGAATAAAAAAACTTTAGGACCCCACTTCAAAGACTCTCTTAGAGCTCCCAAATTCTGGCCTTGGCCTTCAACTATGTGACCCTACTGTAATGTCCTTTGCCACCCACCAACCTCAGAGCAAAATAATCAAACACTTACAAAACCAGAATTTATGAATTTTCGTTAAATTGGGTTTTATTTCCAATCCTCTACACAATGTGTTGATGAACCAACCAAAACCGAGGTCAGATGGAATTGCGAATGATGCTTTCTATCACTTTCTTGTCTGCTCTTTAATTTCCAGAATTATATGACTTGATTGTTATATGATTTGCTTTTTTAATAGAAGATCTTCTCATACATGCATGAATAGAAAAAAGAAAACTTCGAAGAGTAAAATAATGGGATCGATCGATTATAAATTAATTAATTAATTGTAGTATGCAAAAAAAAAACAGTGTTACATTAGATTCAGACATTTATCGAAAATGAAACATATATATTATTGTACATAAAAAAGGGACGTCTAAACAATAATAGACTAACCAAATCATACTTTATCAGTAAATCTACAAAAAACAACTTAATTAAAGAACTGCAGCAGGTTGAACCATGTCATTCCAAAGGTCCTCCAAGTCTATCATGATGTCATGATCACCATCAGCTTCATAAAATAATTGTGAGTAGTCAAAATTGGGAGGTGGAAGTTAATCCTTATCATTCATGACAGGATAATTCTGATGTATACTGGCCGGACTAGCAAGCGAAGAATCCATAGTGGAATCGGCAACAAAGTAGTTTGGCTAGTCTTGTGTAACAAAGTGGTGTGGCTGATTAGTGAACCCAGTCATAGCAGTCTGCGGCGAATCATAGTGAGAGAAAACAGTACTACTACTTGGTTGTGCATTGGAGTAGTGGTGTTGTGGCAAGTCGGTCACATTATTTACAAAGCCTTCGTGCTGAAGATAGTCTTCTTGGCTAGCCATACGTAGTGAAGAAGCCATGGTGGGATTGGTAACAAAGTAGTTTGGTTGGTCTTGTGTAACAAAGTGGTATGGCTGATTAGCAAACCCAGTCGTAGCAGTCTGCGGCAGATCATAGTGCGAGAAAACAGTACCACTACTTGGGTCTTGTGTACTGGAGTAGTCGTACTGTGGCAAGTCAGTCTCATTATTCACAAAACCATCGTGCTGAAGATAGTCTTGTTGGTTAGCCATGCCTAGTGAAGAGGCCAAAGTTAGACATGCAGCTTCTGCGATGAAATCATCTGGCCTCGCCATTGGTTCTTGTGAATCATTGTAGCATTATGGAAAGTCGGTAACATTACAATGCTCTTACTGCTGCTGATTATAGCAATGATCAACGTTATTCACAAAACCATTGTGCTGAAGATTAATCCGTTGCTCTTGCTGCGGCTTTTGCTGCTGTGGGTAACGATTGGTATTAACGTCCTCAACAACCTCAAAAGACACGGGAGTAACATAAGATTCATCAATATTCTCAAATTTCCTTTGAATCTTTTTTCTTTGTGATTCTACTACTCTGGTCTCCTCGCGATCATCCGCCTTTCTCTTTTTATCATAATTCTTTCTAATCCGGCAGACTACATAGTCATCACTATTACTAGTTCTTGAATTATTTGATTTAATGGACATGGCCAGTTTAGGGTCCAGGCTAAACTCGTGCATAATCCAATAACCGTTTTTTTGAAGATATTTAGTATTCGCATATGTAAACCTTTTCCACCAACCTATCGTCTCTTTAGTCTTCGGATCTTTGACTTTAGTCCCTGAATTCTGGCCATGCCATGTCCCAGACCCTATCGTGCGAGCCACACGCGAACCTGTACCCTTGCTGCTCGTAGGTTTAAGTTTGGTAAAGAAGTAAAGGTCTTCACCTTTTCTTAAAGTTTGTCCACCATTGTTCTTCCATATATCTCTCGCCTCCATGCTACCATAAAGATCGTTATCTGGAATAACATTCTCATCCTTAAAGGGTGCGCCACGAACCTTGTTGCGCATATAATATCCCACTAACTCCTCGTCTCTTGGGTGAAACTTGTAACCTACTGGAAAGTCATTAGCAGATGCCATATATATTTCTTGCTTCCGCTTTCTTGAGAAGATGAGATTTAAGAAGGGCGGGAGGGCTGCGGGGAGAGAGATTTTTTCTTGGTTAGGGTTTTAGATACTTGGAGTCGATGTGTTTCTGTGAAGTGGCTTTGATTATTGCATTTAGTCCTTCCACTCCAAAATCATATATATAGATTTTAGATCTAACCATCTTAACCTTTCATTTAGGAATCATTGCCCTAAAATCATGCTCAAAACACGCTACAAATCTTCACTCGCGGTGGAAAAGTAGGAGTTTTTTTAGGTCAAGAATTCCTATTTAATTTGTTAGCAGAAGATGCAAATATTTAAAAAAAAAAAAGGATCTTTAGATATAGACCCTTACCATTCTTATTTTCTAGATAAAAACCTACCTAGTTATAAATATCCAAATAAAACCCAAATTTACAAATGGCTGCCAAGTATAGGAGTAATTGACCTATAATTTGTACCACAATATTCAAAATAAAAATCAATACATGTTATTGCTCACCTTAATTACAATGAAAATATAATTATTGCACATATTATTACCCCAAACACACACATATATATGTTCAAATGTATATATTACTACCATAAGCTCAATATCTCTCTCTCTCTCTCTCTCTCTCTCTCTCTCTCTCTCTCTCTCTCTCTCTCTATATATATATATATATATCAATCTACCTATATTTAAATTTATGATGAGCAAATAACATATCTTTTGTAGGTAAATTAATATTGAATCAAATAACATTCTTTTATTTCGTAGGTAATTTATTTTCCATGTATTATCACATATATTTGGCACATTTTATTACTATAAGATATATGTACAAATAATAGGTAAATTAATCTTGAATAAAAAAACAATTCCTTTATTTTTTAAGTAAATTAATTCTGAATCAAATAACATTTCTTCATTATGTAGGTATTTTATTTTGTATGTATCATTGCGACATCCCGTCCCAAATTTTACATTTTTATTAATTTTAAAAGCGTGATTTTACGAAAATGCCCTTAGAGGCGAGGGTATTGACTTTCGTTGATCAACGTATAGTGAGGTGTATGAATTAATCCTTTAGCGTTTTCCTGAAGTACTCGACATTACGGACTCATAGGCGCAAGCAGAAGAGGAATTGGGGTTACGGTTAAAGTTTTACGGAACTGTAAACTCGAGAATTACTTTTGTTTTAGTCACTATTTATATATATTTTTTATATATTTTCATAATTTTTATAATTATTTATCATTTGGTTATTTTTAAAGAGGAAGAAGAAGATAAAGAAGAAGTGGGGGAACGAGAGAAGGGAAGGAAGGGCGACTGCCCAATTATAAAGAAGAGAGAGAGAGGGTGGACGAATGGGGAGAGGAGAGATGAGAAGGTGACCAACCAGAGAAGGGGGAAAGGAGGGAAAGGAGGGAGAAGAAAATGAAGGGGAAAAACCGGGTTTCCCCGTTGACCCGCTCGACCCGACAAGCACCACGACCAAATTCGGGTCATTTTTCGGGCAAATCAAAGCACCACCACCTAGAAACAACTTCCTAGCCTTCCCTCTTCCATTTCCATCCAAAATTAGAAGAAATTTGGTGGTAATTTTAGAAAAAATGCACCGGTGGTATGTGTAGGATGTGTAGGTGTACGGCGGCAATCCACAAAATGTGAATCTAACTCAGTCAATTACCACCACTAAAGCACTCCCCTAGAACCCAGGAACAAAGCCCAGGCAGTGGTGGAGGCGTCGGAGCAAGCTTGGAGGTCGAATCGAGCACACCTAAGTATAGGGTTTCCGACGGGTTTTAATGGAATTGAAGCTCTTCCTAGTCTATTTGGCCTTGGTCATAGGCGACGATGGTTCGTGATGTCTTGATATGCGTGCTAGGGAGTCGTAGTGCGGACCTTAGGTGAGTGGATCTTTTCATTTTTATCATATATATATATATATGATTGATAATTCCACAAATGGTTATAAATTGATTATTGCATATAATGACTGTGAATGCTTTGAAGTACTAATGTGAACTACGAATGGCTTGATCCTTGTTTAGGGTACGTAGGCAGTCTAACGAGATGTTAGATGTAGCCATACACTAAATGAGACTAAATAATTGAGACAATAGCCTTGTTTAGGGAATTGAGCAATGTAAGGGACATTGGTGGAAAATGTGAGATTTAATCTTATGATTTGGTGGTTAAATGTTGGTCATAAATCAATGTGTGAAGAATCAAGAATTTGAAGTAAGGAAACGTAAGTAATAATAATTAATTAAACTAGTGTCTAGTTGGGCTTATCACCGATCATTATTCCCGAAAATAAATAGTTCGGGAGTAGGGTGTTACAACTTATGCATTTTTACGCCATATTAGATATATATATATATATATATGTATGTATATAATTGAAAATGCTATAACACGGTTAAGTATCGGATTGAATCATGGTTTATCTATATGTATATTACCTGCACATAATTATTGTGAACATTTTGAAGTGCAAAGGTGAACGCAGGACACCCAGTTAAGTTCAAGTGAGTTTATGGTATTAGTTGAAATGATGGAGTTATGGCATGACCACATGCATGTTTTAGGCAACTCCGACCTTGTCGTACAGGTTGCAATGATAGGCAACTCCGACACTGTCATACAGGTTGCCCATGAGTCGTATATGTTACAATAGATGCAGTTAGAGCTCATAAACCTACACCCCAGTGTTAATGCTCCAGCCCGTGGCCAGGGCACAGTCCTTCATGTGATGTTCACCGTCGGAATCTTACGCTCACCTTGGATCCAAGGTAGGTGCATAGTCCTATCATACATATCACTATAGGTGGTTTCGACTCGTAGGTGACCTACGTTTATTCGCACAGTCTTCACGTGATCGTAACACTTGAGCGTACTTATTTACACCCAGTCCTATCGTACAGACCACTATAGGTGGTTTCGACTCGTGTGCAGGGTTATGTAATGAGCTATGGATTCAACTGTACATGCCACAAGAGGTGAATTCGGCTGACATATTATAGAGATATGTGATGAGATATGGATAAGTCGTACAAGTCACTATAGGTGACTCCGACTTATGTGCTAGCATTGATTGATGAGATATTGGTGAGTCGTACAGGTCACAAGAGGTGACTCCGACTTATGTGCTAATGTAGATTGTTGAGCACATGATTATTTATATTGTTGATGAGATGCTGTGTCGTGGTATATTTATGGATTTGATGTTGGCTTACTCTTGATTTCACATTGGTACGTAGTTTGATTTTCTGGAAACTATACAGGTGATGCTACGAGGGGTTATAGCATTTTAGAAGGCTTCTATTAAAATAAAATTTTTATTTCTAGGGCCACTCACTATTGTTTTGTTTTCACCCTCCAAGTTTTATTAGCTGAGCTTTCTTATTGTTGAGGATTCGTGACAAATCTTAGTATTGGAGATTTCTTCGAGGGTATGATTCTTAATCCACTCTACTGTACTTACTTATGCTCAAATGTCACATGTGGAGTGGGTTCATTCCCGCTCACCAGCGCACTCTGGTTTTTAGGCACTCTTAGGTTTAAATTTATTCACATTTTTCCACATCATCATACTTTATGGCTTTGTCACCTTCCAGGTGTCGGCCAGCACAGCTCGATTCAGAGTCCTAGTGGACATTCAGGGTCGGGGTGTGTCAATCATCAATGTATATTGGGCACGTTTTATTATTATATGTACAAATAATAGGTAAACTAGTATTGAATAAAATAATAACATTTTTTATGTAGGTATATGATTTTGCATATATTTGGGTTTGCTTTATTATGTAGGCAAATTATTTTGCATGAATTTTATGTATGTCAAGCATGCTTTTTTTTTTGTTGTTATATATATGTGTGTGTATGAAATAATTTACCTACAAATATAATTTTATTGACTTAACTAAGTATGTATTAATAGATTTATTAGGCATGTTTTATTGTTATTATATATTATGCAATGAATTTATTATTTTTTATTTTTGTAAAATCATTAATTCTCCCTTACAATTTGTATGGAATTAATTGTGTAAATCCAACATTCAAATAGGCGTGCTTTGGGCATCAAAATGTTTTAAATGTGTAAAGTCAAATATAATTAAGGAATTTGCTAATGCGAAATCTAGTCAATGGGTTTTATTCTAGTAAAAAACTTATGTCGGGTTTTATGTGGAGAAAATTAAGTTTCAGGCACTACAATCATATTTTCAGAAAAAAAAAAAAAAAAACAGTTTGGTAATTCACTAGATAAATCCCATGCTATTTTCTTTGGAGTGATTTCATTTCAACGTTTTTAATGGCTAATTATATTAACACCCCACAAATTGTTGAATAAACCCCACAAACTTAATACACCCCACAATTGTTTTTTCACTTAAAAATTATCTTAATACACCCCACTTACTTTCCCATAATACCCCACACCCCACACCCCACATTCTCAATATACATCTTATATTTTGTACATACACCCCACATTTTCTTTACACCCCACATTTCTCAAATCTTATAACACTCATTTTTAATTTTCAATGATTGAATCTAACCATATGAACACTAAAAGATGAATATGAATATAGAAGTTTAAATAATGCAGCAAACGCAAGATTAAATAATTATCGATGTCATCGAAATCACTAAAACAATGAAAACTATGAAGTCTTACCTCATGTGAAGCTTCTGAAACATCGATTTCGTGTTCCATTCGTCAAAAACAATTTTTCTTAATCAACATGTTTGATAGTTGAGAGGATAAATAATACGTTAAAAGTGATTTGGGGTGTATTTATAAATCTTTATTTTTTTTAAAACCTAATAAGGTCAAAATTGTCATTGCATAGTAGAGTAAATAAGTCATTTAATATTAAATTTTAATGTGGGGTGCATTCAACATTTTGTGGGGTGTTAATATAAAAACCCTTTTTAATTAGCTACAAATTTCCTTTGACAGTTTTTATTCAACATTCTAAAAAACGACGTC